ACCAGGTGTTCTAAAAGCAAAATCTCGTGCTTGAAACTCTGACACAAAATAAACGACGAGAGCTGAAGTGCATTTCGAAAGACTGATAATGTTTGGTGACGGCGCTTTTAATATGCTTCAGTGAGTTTTACAACCAGTTCAAATTTCATTAAGTTTGAATGCTCGTTGACGAGGAATTTAAGGGATAACTTAGAGCATATTGTGAACACGAAAGTATATAATTAATTTGAATAGTCAGAAAAATTAGTGTTGTTGTTGTTCAAACTCTATTGATAAATATAAAAATTAATGCCAGAAAAAGAAGGGTAGTAGAGGCGGTTATGACCATACAATTTTGGAACGATTTGCTTGCTATTTAATATATTTTAATGTATTAATATGCTAATTGTAAGTTTGAAAACGTTAAAAAACTGTGAGTGCATTAGCGAGTTTTTTTCCAATATATTAAATATTTAAAATTTTTTAAATTAACACAAAATACCCATATTTCAATATCCTGTAAAATATAAAATAACACCGATTTTTATTTAAAAAATTTAATTAGAGAAAAAATATAAACATATATGGCACATTTTTAAATTTTAAAATCAACTAAATATTGGGAATTGAATGGAGCTTCGAGAGGTTTCCTTTTAGTGTTTTAGTTTAAAGTTGAAACAAAGTAAGGGTTATTTAGCTAAAAGTTTTGACCGTTGGATGGAAACAGGAATTAAATTTATAAACACTATTTTATATTATATTTTTTATTTGCAAAATGAAAAGATGTATTTTAGCTTAATTAAATTCTGAGTGGTACTTGAGGCGAGCAAATGAGTGTCGCAAATTTTGCCCTCAGCTCCTTTACGACAGCAGAGCGTGCAAAAAAATCGCAGTCTAAAAAACCCTTTACGACCGGGAGTGCCACGTCTTGGCAATGAACAGCCGCCCTAAGCCTCAAGCCGGCCATACAATGGCGATATTCACCGAGACCGGCAGTGCACAAACAAAAACGAGCACACATGGCGCACGCAGGCAAGAGTGCGAAAGACGCACTCCGGCTGGCACTTTGCGCAATTCGAAACTTTTCCAATTTCGCTTAAAATTCGGTTGTCTCTTTAGTTCTGGAGCAGCTGCCGGCGTGAAATTTGCAGCCGATGCGAGAATGGCCCCTTTGTATCGGAAAGCTATGCAACCCGAGCAACAGATACGCTGAAGAGCACTTGCGTGTCCAAATTAGCGCGACCGGTTGCCGGTGAATTTGTGTTTGGCTCGTCGAGCCAACAAACAAACCAACACGACTGCACTCGATTACATGCAAAAGCAAAGCGGCTATTTGCTCAAACACAAGCTATGCCGTCGTGCGATCTCCCGGTGGGGAATTTTGGCTCGCAGAGGGAGCGAGGGTGGCATCCCAAGTTTGCTAATCCAGTTTTCGGAATCATTAGAGCCTCTTGAATTGCCCTCGGAAACTAATTAATGTGATTGTTTAAGCCAAACATTGGCTCAGTTCGGGGGGTGCTTGTGGCTTTTCAAGTCGCGATTTAAGAAAGACAAATTATTATAATTAACGCTTTAATGGTGTTTAGACACATCAAGTTACTATCTGAAATTTTAGAAACTAATATTTCATCCATTTTATCAAAGATATCAAACAAAAAGCAAGGAAATTAAATTTTTACATTCATTACTTTAAACGCAGAGATTTTTTTTAAGACCGACGAGAAATCGGCCTGCGCCCTTTTAATGAGCCAGCAGGTGGCAAGTTAAAATATTTTTAAATAATAAAATAATATTCACTAAAAATTATTTTGAGCTCAGAGAGTTCATGCTCAATTATGAGATGAAAAAAGTTTAAATACATTAAATTTATTTTATTTCTTTTAAATCAAATGAGATTTTAATTGAAAAATTTTATGTTCTTCTGTTCCAATATAGCATTTTAATTGAGGAAATTTTGAGGCATACGTTTTTGAATCGCTACTTTTCCTCAATTTCAGCTACTTAGAATTGCATGGGACGGTACGATTGAATGGAAATGAAAAGAGGGCTTATTGATGTGCATCAAATTGGGCTTAAAATGTACAGCCTTTGTCATTGGTAGTTTTTATTACATGGGAATAAAAACATTTGAGTTTTGAATTGAATTTTGTTTGAAAAAAAAAAATCAAGCGTTAAAAAGCGGGAAAAAGGAAAATAAAAACGTTTATAAATATTATTTATAGCTGATGTAGCTATACTTCCTCAATCAAAAAAATGCGTTAACAGGAGGAAATTGGTGTAAAAAATGGAAAAATTTAGCCCACGGTAATTTCCAAAATCAAATTTTTTTTTGTTGCGTGTTTATATTTGTGTTTATTATCAAGCCTTGCCAAACGTTGTTTGGAAACCGCAAAATAATATCAACATTTTTCCAGGAAGTTTTACCGTACCGAGCAAACAAAAATATGCCACGTCCAGAATAAGTTTTGCAAATGAGTCGTGGGTGCGTAAACGAGTTCACAGCTAACTCGGAGGGACGCAAATCTCATGAAAACATATTACATTTTGGGGTACATTTGCTCGCGCGTTTGACAGTCTGTGCACACGTCAGCCCTCTGCGCTATCTCCTTCAAATTACGCCCGACTAGTCTAAACATGTGCATGTACAGGGGTGCTTTTTCAGACACTTTTTTCGCCGGAATAAATTTAGCCCGCGTAGGCAGGCAGGTGTAATCGCGTACTGGGCGGAAAGTGGTGGTGCGCGCACCCCGCCCGAGATACAGCACAACAACCCTGCCTGCCCGACGTGCGCCCCGGCCAGGTGTGAGGTTTCTTTTTTCGCGAGGGTTCTACGTGAACAAGGCCGGACGTGTGCACCACGGTCTCGCGCTTCAAACTTCACACTCCTGGGGCTCGCAGCTGAAAGGTGCAGAAGCAGATTTCGCGGATCCGTGCACCCAGCGTGAGTTCTGAGAGAACAGGTTGACGTACTCGCGACTCACTCCTCCTAACCAAACACCAAAAATTTGGAGCTGCGTGTCATGAATATGTTATTCGCTGGAGTTAGTTGCGTATACAAACAATTTATTCAGTGACAGAAAAATATTATTTCGTGAAAAATAACATTTTATTTCGATACTTGTTATCAGCACACATTTTCTAGTGAGGATATTTATAATCTAGGAGACGATCATGGAAGAAAATGGGCTTCGTCCTTGTTGAAAAAGTGTTTAATGTTATTAAAAAAGAGCAATTTGTTATTGAATCATTTTTTTCAACCAGGGCAAAGCCTGTTTTCCTTACTTCCACTCGTTTTTATATGTTTGAGAAATTTGCGGGAAAGCTATTAAATTTAAAGGAGCTTTTATATAAAACCATCGAGACTTTCAAGTGCAGGAAATGTTCGAAGTAAAATTAATTTATGTAATTTTAATAAAATCACTTAAACTGGATGAACCAATTTTGGGATTAATGTTTTACATTAATGTTGCTTTTGATATAACACTTTTGAGGTAAGAAATATTTAATTGCTTAGATAAGAAAGTTTAAGTTATATTTATATTTTTTTCTTTAAACTCTGCATAGTAAAAAATCGGAACAAATTTAACATTTAAACTATTAATAAATTTGATAAATAATAAAAAAAATACTTTAAACACATTAAAGATCACATAAAATTTAAAAATAAAATTTTTTAAATTATAATGTAATTCTTTTTTATATAACATTTTTATATTAACTACAAATTTTATTATCACAATTAAAACGCAATAACATACATCATTCAATGTTAATTGCACAAAGCAATAATCAATTTTATCAAAAACACGTTAAAACTTGAAACTCCTTAGTTAAATATTGCGAAATTTTAAACAAGCAAAATTCTCTAATTGAAGAGAAGTATCTATTACTTGATTTGATATCTATTTAAAGAAGCCGTAGCTCTTGAGTATCAATTATTATTAATGTAGATTAAAAGAAAATATCATCGCATTCTCTCTAGAAAGCTTCATTTCATTCATTTTGCGAGTGAGCAGCTGCCAAAATTCCACAACCACGCGTCCTTTGCACTAAAAAGCAGGGAAGGGGTGTGCGCGTGTCTTTATTAAATTTAATCCCGAGTGCTAGAAAGTAGATGTCAGTTTTACAACTTCATAAAGCAGCGAGCATTCAAGATAATGAAGTGTGATGGATCAAATTATGCTCCCGCAGCAGTGGCGGCAGAAATTAAAAGCGCCGGCGAAAATTCTTGAGAGGGAGATGCACTGCGAGAGAGAAGACGAGGGCGGCGTCGAGTAATTCCCAAGGAATTATAAAACGCTTACCAGGGCGGCAGACAAACTTTTTGGATTAGTGTCGTGTCTCTAGTTGGATATTATAATAGCAAAGGGAAGAAGTGTAGCGTCGAGACATAATTTTCCTCAACAAGTTCTATTCCCTCTTAATTGAAGAAATAGTGCTGGAGCGAATAAGTTGAGGGACGAGGGAAGACAATGCAGTGCAGGATTTGAATTAGGAATTAAGAGAGGAGAGAACTAATAATTCTTATTATAACTTTGAGTTTTGAGTGCGCTGGTTGTCTTTTGCGACTAAAATGTTAATTTTGCAGGAAAACTTCATTGTTGGATATAAAAATTATTGCAGAATATTCATGCAAATATTTAAACTATATTATAAATAATTATTTAAAAATTTTAAATGATTTAAATTATTAATAAAATAATAAATTATTTTGTGATAGAGCATTAGTTATTTTTTTTTTAAACTAAGTAAGTAATTTAATATTAACTAATACTCAACATAAATTAATTAAATTCACTTACAAATGATCAAAATGAGGCTAACATAGAAATTGTGGAAAATTTCTGAACGAAATTATAAACTTTCCGCAAATCTGGGCAAGAGGAATAAATCCGTGTTGACGTCCGCCCACCTACAATTCTACTTGTTCAGGCAGTCGGGCCGGGAAAGCTCTCGGAGTTAGTTTTTTAGTTCTAATGGAAGTAAATAAGCCGAAATAAGCGGTGGGGCAAAAAACTCACCGGTGCCGGGCACATAGAGGTTGAGGTTGAGACAATCTTCGCTCTGGTTAGAGAGCAGGGGGGCCAGTCTTTTCACTTGGTTCAGCCTCCCGGGAGGCATCAGCTCCAAGGTCGCACTTTCATTAGCAAGGTCCGGCAGCCGCTGGGGGCACACGGCGCCGAACTTTTCTGCCGTCCACACGCCACTCCACTTGGCCGGCGCCTTCGGGAAACGAAAGCGGCCGCTGCCCGTCGGCGGCGAGGCGAACGGAATGCCCAGGAACGCGTCCACCGCCTCCATCTGCCGCGAGTTGGGCTGGATCTGCACACCCCGCACCTGCCCGTACCTGAAACAAGCAAAAAGGTCATTCAATGCCAGGAGACTAATTTTAATATAGGGTTTATTTGTAAAGGAGTTGCAAAATTGTTACATTTTTAATGCGTATGGAATTTGTTAATTTTGTATAATTTTTTTGCTACCAGATTTCGTGAATTTTTAAAAATTAATCCCGCATTCCTCTTTTGTTATTTATGCAGAGGAGATTTTTCGACAGTGCCTGTGGAGAGAGCGTGATTTTTTCCACGCCACTGATTGCGAAATTCGCTCTTTTATTTCCCAACTTTGCTGCTTTGATCTTTCACAGAAAAGCGGATTTCGCTGCTGCGAATAACGTATTTTTATTGCACGCCATCTCCCACTCCACATTAATACTTGATGATGGCGTATGAATTTTACATGCCAGTGCTTAAACATTTATAACTGTCTGCCGGCTATACAAAATTTTACCCTCCGTCAGTCAAACTGTGGAGTTTGTGCAACCTGAAACTCTAGTATTATTTATATAGAAGAACTTTTGACTATCGCTAAGGCTGAGCTTGGGATATTTTTCGCAACAAGTAAATTTAAACTATGAAAGCCGTTTTTACAATCTAGAGATTTTGTCATTGCTCATTATCATAATGCGTGGGGTATGCAACCTGCTTAACATAGAAACACAGAAAATTGATATCTAATCTTTAACTTTTTTAATTACAATTTACGAATGGCACGGTTTTATCCAGGTAAACTCAAATCCAAAATCTAAGTTCTTGGTTATTGTTAAATCAGTTAGATAATTCCCGGTGTGGTTTCGCATGTTGCATAAAATATCGTATCGACACCCAATTTTGTGTGATTTAAATCTTCATTATCTGTGTTGAACGTGCATCGTTGAAAACAGTAGTTAATAATATAAAATTTATTTTACTTAATTTAAATTCATCATTCTCTTTAATTAAAAATGGATAAGGCTATTCAGAATAAGTTGCTCTCTGATTTGAGCGTCCCTGATTTAAAAACTGCAACCAGCAAGGGCTCTAATTAGGAGTACTATCGTATTATGTGCAGACGGAGATTGTGCGCGCTGCTTATAATTAAAGCAAATTTGTCGCGTAATAATGTTTTGCCCCGGCAGTTCTGTCACACACTGTAGTCGCGAGTTTCGGCGTTGCAAACGCTCTCATCTGCCGAGTCGACTAATCTGGTTTGTCTTTTTGCTAGCCAGCAGACGAGCTCTAATTTCACAATTGAGTTAAGACAAAGGCGGACGCGCGTGTTCCCTCCTCCCTTATAAAAGCGGCGAGTATTTCTCCATTTGTTAGGCGCTGAGGGAAAAGAAGATCCTCGTCAGGCTGCCATTGTTTGCACCAGACACTGCACGTGCAAATTTCCTCAACAACTTTGCCTCCCTGTGTTTATTTATCATTTGGAGCACCATTCCAAATCAGTATAGAATTACAAATTAACACTATTTTTCAATTTATCAAATTAAAAAAACAAAAAAACAAAACAAAAGAACCGAAAAAAGAACATTTTTTAATAGAATAAGCGAGAATAAGTAAATAAATCATTATTTTGTTTTGTTTCATGAAAACTTAATTAATTTGGAAAGTGACACTATTATAGAAATCTTTTTCAAATTAAAATATCTATAAAACATTCATTATTGAACACAGTAATTGCACAAACATCTCTTTTTGAATTAATTATAAGCTAGATAGAATGTGCATTTTTCTTTAAAAATACAAGTATATTATGAAAATGTTTTACTTTGATTGGATAACAATTTACGTTTTACAATATTTTGCATGAAGAATCTTTAAATTTTTTGTTTTATAATTCATAATTTATTTAATTTTTTACTTTCTATATTTAAAAATTTAAGTTTTCAAAGTTTATCAATTATTAGGTAAATTCTTTTTGTAAAATCTATATTTGATTCTGTGATTTAAAAAAAAATATTTCATCAATTCACAGTGGCAGCTAAGCCTGCAAAACGTATTTAATATTATAATTCATTACCAGACATGTGCATAGTTAATGTAGATTTTCACAAAAGCTATCCAAGCTCTCCTTATAAAGTTAACTTCTCGTAAATATAGCGTTCCAGATCAAAGACTGAAAAGTCCACGATTTGATGAGAATAAATAAATAAACGCGCCGTCTCGTTGTGCACTTCAAAAGACACAACTCCATTCATCCTCCCCAGCAGTTACAGTCAAATCAGTTAAGTACACAGCAATTGAATAAACACACAGTTGCATTCCCGCCAGCAAGAAACAAAGCAACTTCTTCAAGCGACAAACTCTTTGTGTTTCCTTCTCCTTTTTTTTTAGCAAAACTAGTCAGGAAAGTTAAATTGGAAAGTGTCGCGCAGTCGGCCGACAAAATTGAGTCTGTCTTTGTTCTGCCACTTACGTTAATAAAGGCGGGGAAAAGATGCAGGGAGAGAAAACAGCCGCCACATTTGCACCTCGAGCCAATGATTAATGGCCCGTTGTAAATAAATTGCCGGATAATCATTTTTCCATCAAGGCCTGCCACTTTGTTTATCCCGGGGTAAAAAACTTTCCGCATACCGACTGCACAGCTCTTTCGAGATGTTAAGCCCGCTGAAATATGACTCGCTCTCGCGTCGATTTTGAAGGCGCAACCGAACTGACTGAATGATAAACAACCGCAGCCGGCTTCATTATTTTTGCATTAGTTGCGCGAGAGCGGCCAAAACTTTTTTCATTAATTCCCCAGAGGCGTCCGCCAGGTGTATCGGGACAGATTTCGAACCGGAAAATTCAGGCGAGTTAAAAGATTTTTCAGAGCTTAAGCTTACGTATAATTTGGAGAAAATTGAGTTGCCCGAGTCGGAAGAGTAGAAATTTAATACACATCTCGGTACTTTCACAGATGAGCGGGCGGAGAGAAACTAATCCCTGGTCTATGCGAGTTCAGTCTTGTGCTCTCTGCTCGGTCACTCGACCAAACAGTCATAATTTGCCAATAAAGTCGGCCGGCGAGCACCGAACGAGCGGGAAGGTTGAATCGGAAAATGGCTTTCCCATTACTCGAGCCGTTCTGATTGCCGACCTATCGGATTGGATTTGCAGTTAGGCATAATTTATATCTCGCGCCATTAACCTTGGTAATCCCTGCCGAGACTGCTGCAAATTTCAACCCGTCCACCGCATATTTTCGAGCGAAATTTGCGCGCACGCCCGCTAATAAGCGTAAAATTTAATGACACTGATTTGAATAATTATTGCTGCGTCGTGTAAATGGATTACGCGTTTGACGGTGCTGCAAGTTGGTCCGCGAAAAATCGATGCTTCGTCAACTAATTTGCTTGCCACTTTCGTACAGAACATTTAGGAAAGTAGGTAGCTCGATTAATTAAATGAATAATTTTATAATCAATAATCAATAAGTTTGGCTTTACGCAAGTTTCATTTAACATTATATAATAAACCTGAATGATTTACTGATTTTTCTTTACTGAATTGTTAGTGGATTAAAATTTGTAGATTATAATAATTAAAAGTAAAATTGGATTTTTTATTTTATTTTTATTCTTGTGATTCAACTAGCGATTAAAAGATAAAAGACAAAAACAAATTAAGTTAGTAAAATTATTATAGTAAAATAATTTAAAATTTAAGTAATAATTTTAAGAAAAAAAATGGTAACGGTAATAGTAAACAATGAATTATTATAAGTTATATAAGTAGTAAAAAAAAGACAATTTGTTTTAATATCTCTTGAATTTTTTAATCTTCTCATGACTGACTTTTCTAAGAAATAAGTGGGATTTGGCTTAACGTTTCATTAAATATTTAAGATTTGAACAGGCTTCAAGCGTTTCAAAAGAAGCACTTTGAAGGAGAGTCATGAACCAATTATTACAATCAGTGCCACTATTTAAACTCTTATGACTCAAAGACTTCTGAACTTATAACTTTGTCAGAACCAAAAGAGCGAATCTGCTTGGAAGTTTGCTGGTGGAAAACAAAGCGTGTCGCTATTTAGGGGCAGGAAAAGCAAATTTTGCGTGGTAGTCAGCAGAGGCGGCGTCGGTGCTAATTTTTTAATGCTTTGTTCTGCGAGCGGCCGGGCGAGCCTAGGAGGAGCCATAAATTAAGGAGTCATCATCCGAGCGTCGGCAGCGAGAAAGCACACGGCGGCAGTTTATAACTTGCGTCCCAGCAGCAGTCGGGACATAAAGTAGCTTACAGTGGTAGTTGACTGCTCGAATTTCTTACTTCTTCCTCGGCGCGCCACTCCACGTACACTAACGACAACGCGCGCAAGTTTATCCGGGAGCAAAGCGGCCCGGCCAAGAGAGAGAGAACTTTATTGCTCAGGCGTATTATTTGATAAAACTTGGGCAATAAATGTGGACCTTTTCCACGTTATTAAATTTGCGCTAACTGGGCTTTCCTGTTGTGCCAAATGCTGGAAAATGGCCGGCCACGCGGATGTTTTAGGGAAAATATGAAACATAAGCAGCATTATTTGGGCAAAGATTGGCAAAGGGATAATCCCGATATTTTTTCATACTATAGATTCGGGACTTAATTGGTACAGGTAGTATAAAACAATAATAAAAGTTAAATAGAGATGTGAATCTATATTGTTAGCTAATAACAGTAAAAATCCATTCGAAATTTTGAAATTAAAATGAAAAAACCCTGTGAGAATAGAAAAATAAATAAAATTTTGATCGTTTATAGACATTTCCTTTTATTTATTTATTTATATTTTTAAATGAAATTATTATTTCATGGAAAAATGCAAAAAAACTTTTGTTACATTTGAAAAATATTTAATAGATCATATTAATGAAATAACAAATAACTAAATAATCCCATTTTGATTTCAGCGTTCTACATTTTTTTTATTAATAATGAGCTTAGTGATTAAGAGACAAAAGTGTCGTACGAGAGATAAAAATTTCACTTCGGAGAACTCCTCCAGCAGTCATATAAAGTTCAAAAGTGACACTGCTCAAAATCCCGCAAAGCTCTTCCCTGCAGT